CCACCTATGCCTCCATCTTGGCCATATCCAGTTATTTTTTCAAAAGTAGAATTGTTCCTTAACTAGTACTAAATAGTAGTTTCCCATTATAACTGTTTTTTGAAAGTTCCATTCAAGGGAAGATTTTTAAGACCAAAGTTTATAAAAATTGCCATAGTTCTCATAAATGCTAGTTAGATGAATTTGTTTCCTTCTTTAATTGTATTTTCTGTTTATTTTGTTTTTTCTTTTACAAAGTAGACAACTCTGAAAGAGTACACATATCCATACTGAAACCAGACCATTCTTAATATATTTACTAACTTGCTTAATCAAGATTGCTGTTTCTGTGACTTCAACAATCAGCTCCAAATACATGAACTCTCATATATGACTAGATCTTAAATTAAGACTCCCCTTTCTTCCAGGGTTAGTTTCTAAGGTCATTTTACTACTTCTCTCAAATAGATCCTTCCTTCTTTCCCATCATCATCCTCCTTAGGCCTTCCAGACCCTCACAGCTCACCAGCACTGGGGTCGTGGCTCCTTTATGGTCTTCCTACCTCCTTTTCTTGATTCCAGTGCATCTTCCACATGGCCAGACAGCCCTCCTAAAATACTCCTTTCATCCTGGTTTTCACCTACTTAACACCCAAGGAGACTAAAACAGTAACAGCTGCAGACTGAGTTTTCCTCTCATCTTGTTATCACCTCTTTTTTTTAATCACATCTTAACCAAAAGTCCCTCCATTCCAGCCAAGCCAATCTGCGAATTAGACAAGAAAAGAGTTACTTTCCTTCATTGAGAAAGATATTCCTTATGCTCAGTACACTAAACCCTTTCCCTCATGATTATGCACTAAAACTCTAAAGCAGAAAGGAATCATCTTGTCTCCAGGCTTTGAAAAATAGTCAAGTATAGTCACTACAGTTAAATCAATGATCAGATTAGAACCTTAGACACAAAATTATTACAAATCAGATCTTTCTTTGCATTCTCTCCTTGAGCTGCTCTCTCTTCACATCAGAATTTCTACCAGGTATTTCTACACCAATCAGTTCTTGGATTCCAAGCCTCTTGTAAGAGATAAGATGAGATTAATGGATTGTTATCTCATCATCACCTGAAAGTCACCTGTAGCTTTCACATTTTAGGAGTTATTTTTGTGGCTTTATGTTAAAAAATGGATGTAAATTTGCCTTGTAAGTTTTCTGTCTGGGCCAAAATGTTTTTTATCATTTTCCAGCAACTTTAATTACCTAGGATAAGACTATGATATAAACAAGTTTTAGGGCTCTACCTCCTAAGGAAGCATTTTTATTAAAAAATCTGCTATTGAAGCTATTAGGGACTAATGTAGCACTTCATTCTTTTTTTTTTTGTAAAAATTGAGGTATAATTGACATATAACATTAGTTTAAGGTGTCATAATAATTCATTATTGGTTCTTTTAAATGCTAACAGAGAACTCAGTTATTGTATTAAAAAGAACATTAAGTTTGATCTAATGAAGTTACTTCAGCTGGATTCTAGTCTCTGGCTATGGTTTTCAAGTGTGACTCTTTTTTTTTAACCAATAACTTCCCACTTATCTCTTTAGTATGACTTTACTATACCAAGAAAAGGGAAATAGTTTGAATGTTAAATGACATGTGAAAAAATGAAAATCAGGTCTGAGAAAGGAAAATAAACTTTATTTGGTAGTTGGTTTGGGCTGTCATAGAAGGTAATTGACAACACAGGGCTCTGTCATAAATGACAATTATGGATGTTCAGTCTATTTGATTCAGTTTAGAACACTTTGGGAAAACTTGGTAGCTGGTGGATCTCAGTGTCCCTAAAACCAGTATGTATGGACTTCCTAGGACAGAGCATCTCCAAGTGTGGTCTTAGGACCATGTGAATCTGAATCATCTGAGGTTCTGTGTAAAAGAATTCCTAATTCCTAATTCCTGAGCTTCATTCCAGATTTTTAAAAAATGAAATGATTGAGATGGTATCCACAGATGCAGAAAAAGAAGTTGATAAAATCCAACACCAATTCATACTAAAGTTCTCAGTAAACTAGAAATAGAAATTCCATCAGTCTGACAAACAATATCTACAAAAATCTACAGCAAATCAGCTTCATACTTAATGGTGAGAAACTGAAAGCTTCCCCACTGAGATCAAGAACAAGGAATCATTGTCTCCTGTCACTATTGTTTTCAACATCATACTGTAAGTCCTAATAAATGCAATATGAAAAGGAAATAAAACATATACAGAACAGTAAAAAAAGAAATAAAACCCTGTTCACAGATGACACAATTATCTATGTAGAAAATTCAAAAGAGTTGACAAAAAAGCTCCTGAAACTAATAAGGAATCACAACAAGGTTTCAGGATACAAGGTTGATATATAAAAGTAAATTGCTCTCCTATATACCATCAGAACAAGTGGAATTTGAAATTAAAAATAAAATACCATGTATATTAGCACCCATCAAAATACCTAGATACAAAATAACAAAATATGTACAAGTACTATAAGAAAACTACAGAACTCTAATGTAAGAAATCAAAGTATAAGTGTTAATATAGTCCGTGTATTACACAGAAAAAAAGGCTCAATATTGCCAAGAGTTCAGTTTTTCCTATCTACAGACTCAATGCAATCCTAATCAAAATCCAAGGTACTTATTTTGTGGATATTTAAAAACTATTATAAAGTTTATATCAGATGGCAAAAGATCCAGAACAGCCAACACAATATTAAAGAACAGTGGGCTAACCTACCCTGCTTCAATACTTACTGTAAAGCTGTAGTAATCAAGACAGTATGATATTGGTGAAAGAATAGACAAATAGATCAGTAGAACAGAATCAAGAGCTCAGAAATAGCCCTGCATATAGTCATCTGATTTTTGACAAAACATCAAAGGTAATATAATTAATAAAAGAGAGCCTTTTCAACAAATGGTACCTGAACAACTGGACATCTGCATGCAAAAAAAATTGAATCTAAGCACATCCTTATACCTTTAACAAAAGTTAATTCAAAATAGATAACAGACCTAAATGAAAAAATGCAAAAGTACACAATTCCTAGAATATAACATAGGAGAAAATCTAGATGACCTTGAATTTGGCTGTGACTTTTAGATATAACACCAAAGGCACAGTCTATAAAGAAAGAATTGATAAGCTGGAATTTAATGAAATTAAAATTTCTGCTCTGGAAAATTTCTTTCCTACAGTGTCAAGAGAATGAAAAGATTAGCCATAGACTGGGAAAAAATATATTTAAAAGACATATATGATAAATGGCTATTATCCAAAATTTACAAAGAACTCTTGAAACACAGCAATAAGCAAACAACTAACATGATTAAAAATGAGCCCAAAACCATAATAGACACCTCTCCAAAGAAGATTTTACAAATGACAAGCATGTGACAAGATGCTTCACATTGTACATCATCAGGGAAATGTAAATTAAAACAACAGTGAGATACCACTACAAACCTGTTAAAATAGCCCAAATCCAGAACATTGACAGTACCAACACCTGGAGAGGATGTGACACAAGGAACTCTCGTTCATTGCTGGTTAGAATGCAAAATAGTTCATTTACTTTGGAATACTCTTAACCTTACAAATCAAACCTATGAAATAATTTTGCGTACCTCCAGGTTCCGGATATAATACATTGGAAGTGTATATTTAAAACTTATAATTAAAATAGCATTGTTATGGGAGGGAGGTGGGGGGATGGGGGGTGGGCTGGGATGGGAGTAAAAGACAGAAAACTACTTGAAAAACAATGAAAATCAAAATAAATAAATAAAATAAAATAGCATTGTTAATTGATTCATTGGCCACCTCCCTTAACACCCCTGACATAAAAGTACTTGACAAAATATTTTAAAATATTTATTTAAAGTACCTAAAGGCTACATCACTGTGACAGTAAGCAAAAGAAAAGTATCATTCATAAAACAAGAAAAAGGAATCATGAAACACACATAGACAGATGTTTTCCAGAACAGGGAAAACAAAGAAGAATCAATCAGAAATTCTGAAATTGAAAACAATGGTTATTTTTTAATTAATAGATGGACATACTAAAGAGATAATTAATAAATTACAAGACTTAGAACAAAACACTAAGAGTTTAAAAAAGTAAAGTTAGACCTGGATCAGGAAATAGATTGAGAAGTTTCAACATGCCTCATATGTCTTAAATATGACATATATATTACATATTTTGTGTATATAAATATTTATATTTTATATATGTGTATATATACATATGACGATGAAAAAGAGGCTAGATTTGAAGAAATGAGCACATATCTTTGGAATTAAAGAAAGACATAGACCCTCAGACAGGTAATGACTGAAGTGGTGAATACGAGAAATAAAAATCCTGTATACAGTATAGTGACACCACCAGCCTACATGACACTTTTGTGCCATATGTATATATCAGTAACCTCTGACAGATGCTGTCCTTTAATTTTATGTCTTGAGCAAGTGCCCATTGGCCTAGTGTGTAGTCCCCCATGTGCTTCCTTTTTTTTTTAAATTTTATTTTAATCATTGTTCAAGTACAGCTTTCTCCCTTTTACTCCCATTCCAGCCCACCCACCCAACCCTCCCCACTTCCCTCCCATTACCACCCTCCCCCTAGTTTTTGTCCATGTGTCCTTTAAATTTGTTCCTGTAAACCCTTCCCATTCTCCCCTGAAATTCCCTCTTCTCTCCCCTCTGATTTAGCTATCTATATTCCTTTGTGCAGGGCAAGAATTACAGAATGAGAGAATCTAATTAGTATTTGTTTTACAGATTTTTTTACAAAGTATCAATGATTGCACTGAGTATTTCTCCCTAATGTTAATACTAGAAGGTAATAGAATAAAATCATTAATGCAGAGGGAAAAGGAGTCATAACCTGGGGGTCTATACAAAACAATATTTTCAAGAGTCAGTATAAATAAAGTTTTGGACAAAATGTAATAGAATTTACTTCTTACAGATTCCTTCTGAGGGAACTATAAAAGGATGGACTCCAGCAAGAGGAAAAGTGAATCAAAGGAATGAAGTGGGATATAAGCAATAGTGGTAAGTAAAAAAAAAAAAAAAGTAAAATATGTGCATTTAATTCAAATATAAAACAAGGTGATTTTATATAAAAAGTTGTTAAAGTTAGGTCAGCTGAATTTACTTTGATGGGACTCTCTACTTAGGGTGTCACATATTTACAATCTAGAAACTCACTCTTTTCAGCTCTTAACTCTTTCACTAGCTGACCATCACACATTATTAACAAAATATAAACAGTTGGAATTCCAATAATGTAAGAAAAAACAGAAAGTAACTTTTTATTTGTCTTTATAATCCCTGGGAAGTATCACCTGGTGCTTAGAAAAGTGTCTGCCATGTAAAAGATGCTCAAGTTTTTTTATCTCTCAAAACAATTTCTCAAGCTAATAAATATGTTCTTAATTAGATTTTAGGAATAATTTCTGATAAGAGATGGCATTTTGGTGGGATTATATGTCAGTGCATAGAATCATATCATTGGCTTCTTCTTACTAGAAGACAGTGATAAAAATGAAGCTGACTAGCCCTGGCTGGCATAGCTCAGTGGATTGAGCGCGGGCTGCGAACCAAAGTGTCACAGGTTCAATTCCTAGTCAGGGTACATGCCTGGGTTACAGGCCATGACCCCCAGCAACCACACATTGATGTTTCTCTCTCTCTCTTTCTCCCTCCCTTCCCTCTCTAAAAATAAATAAATAAATAAAATCTTTAAAAAATGAAGCTGATTAAAGATATATTTCAATGTTTACATTTTAAAAACTTCTAGCAAGCTTCAAAGAATAATCGTAGGGGAGGCAGTTTGCTGTGGAGTTTTTTAGGTCTTTGAATAAATCAGCATATTTTGCCATATGTAATGTGTACCCATTTTTGGCCCAAAGGAAAAAAATTTTCATTTTAATTTTTAATTCGATCATTTATTTATTTGTATTTAGATACTTGTTTTTGTATTATGCAGAAATTTTAGTATTTATTTTTGAACAAATTATGGTACAAAGAATTTTATATAACAAATAATTATAAAACACAAGAACAGATACAAGGTATTTCAGGCACTACCCATGTATAATACACTTCCTATTTTTCCCATAAAAATTTGGGCAAAAATAGTGCACATTATACATTGCAAAATATGGTAAGTTTAATATTACTTGGTTTTCTTTATACAATAAAAAAAATGGTTGGAAAGGAGAAACATATTTTTAAAGATAAAGTCCCTAGTGAAGTGTTCTCTTAGGGTATGTCACCCAGTTATTTTTATATGGACCAGAGAGGCATAAGTTTTTCACTTTCACTTCCTCAGCCTTGAAGCAATTTTTGTATTGAAGCTCCATTGTTACCCTAGTATTAATTTAGGGGATTCTCAAAGGTGGCCCAGCAATTTCAGTCTTGTGGCAAAATCATCATCTTGGCAGAGTAACAGTCATTCTCTTATACTTTGGCTTCACACCCAGCTTGCCAGTCAGAAGTTGGGTATATTTATGGTGCTGGCACTTATAGTTGAGGAACTTTTGCTAATTCTGTGATTACCTTAGAAAGACATGGTTTTTATCCATACTTATGGCTGCTGAGTCTGACTGAGCCCTTAATGTTAAAAGCTAGACTTTTCATGAAGCGAGTGGTCCTGGTCTCAAAATATCTGTCTATTTGGTACTTGTTGGAAAGTCAGCTATGAAAAAGTCTAGGTTTTATATATGTTTTATTGTTGTTGTTGTTGTTTTATCTTTATTATAATATTTTCCACTACCATTTACTCCCCTTACACCACTGTACCCCCACAATAACCACACTATTGTCCATGTCTGAGTTCTTTTTCCTTTTTGCTCAATCCCTCTACCCCCTAATCTGACCTCCTGCATACTAACTGTCATCTGTTCTCCATCTATGAGTCTGCCTCTCTTTTGCTTGTTAGTTCAGTTTGTTCATTAGATTCCACATGAGTGAAATTATGTGGTATATGCCTTTCTCTGACTGGCTTATTTCACTTAGCATAATGATCTCCAGGTCTATCCATGCTGTCGCAAAGGGTAAAATTTTCTTCTTTTTTACAGCTGAGTAGAATTCCACTGTATAATGTCCCATAGTGATTTTATCCACTCATCTATTGATGGACACTTGGGCTGCTTCCATATTTTGGCTATTATAAATAATGCCACAATGAACATAGGGGCAGTTATGTTCTTTCAAATTAGTTTTTAGGGTTCCTTCAGATATATTCCTAGAAGTGGGATTGCTGGGTCAAAAGATAGATCCATTTTTTATTTTTTGAGTTATCTCCATACTGCTTTCCACAGTGGCTGCATCAATCTGTATTCCCATCAACAGTGCAAAAGTGTTCCCCTTTTTCCATGTCCTCGCCAGAGCTTGTTTGTTGATTTATTGATGATAGCCATTCTGACAAGTGTGAGATGGTATCTCATTGTGGTTTTTATTTGCATTTCTTTGATGATTAGTGATGTTGAGTATCTTTTCATATGTCTATTGTCCATCTGTATGTCCTCTTTGGAGAAGTGTCTATTTGGGTCCTCTGCCCATTTTTTAATTCAGTTTTTTGTTTTTTTTGGTGTTGAGTTTTGTAAGTATTTAATTAATTTTGGATATTAACACCTTATCAGATGTCTCAGCAAATATGTTCTCCCACTCTGTAGGTTGTCTTTTTTATTTTGTTGATGATTTCCTTTCCTGTGAAGAAACTTTTTAGTTTGATAAAGTCCCATTTGAGTATTTTTCCTTGTGTTTCCCTTGCCTGGGGAGATATATCCAATAAAAAATTTCTGCAAGCAATGTCTGAGATTTTGCTGCCTATTTCTTCTAGGATTTTTATGGTTTTGGCTCTAATGTTTAAGACTTTCATCCATTTTGAATTTATTCTTGTATGTGGTATAAGAAGGTGGTCTAGTTTCATTTTTCTGCTTGTTCCTGTCCAATTTTCCCAGCACCATTTATTGAATAAACTGTCTTTACCCAACTGTACGTGCTTGCTTCCTCTGTCAAATATTAACTGTCAATAAAGGTGTGGGTAAACCTTTTACTGGGCTCTCTATTCTGTTCCATTGATTAATGTGTCTGTTTTTATGCCAGTACCAAGCTGTTTCGAATACTATGGACTTATAGTTTGATATTAGGTAGCATGATTACTTCAACTTTGTTCTTCTTTTTCAAGATTGCTGTGGCTATGCAGGGCCTTTTGTAGTTCCATATACATTTTTTAAGTAGTTTTTCTAGTTCTGTGAAATATATCATTGGAATCTTGATAGGTGTTACATTGAGTCTATAGACTGTTTTTGGTGATACAGACATTTTAATTATGTTAATTCATATTATCCATGAAAACAGTATGTACTTCCACTTATTTGCATCTTCTTTAATTTCTCCCTTCAGTGCCTTATGATATTCTGAATACAGGTCTTTTACATCCTTGTTAAGGTTTATTCCTAGGTGTTTTATTCTTTTTGAAGCAATTGTGAATGGCATTTGCTTAATTTCCCTTTCTGTTAGTTCCTTATTGGCATATTAAAATGCAACTGATTTCTGAATATTAACTTTGTATCCTGCTACTTTGCTTAATTCATTTATCAGTTCTAGTAGTCTCTTGGTGGAATCTTTGAGGTTCTGTGTGTACAATATCATGTCATCTGCAAATAAAGTCAATTTTACTTTTTCTTTTCCAAATTGCATGCCTTTTATTTCTTCTTCATATCTTATTGCTGTGGCTAGGACTTTCAGTACTATGTTGAATAACAGAGGTGAAAGTGGACATTCCTGTCTTGTTTCCAACAGGGATGGGGAATGTTTGTAATTTTTACCCATTTAGTGAGATGCTTACAGTGGGTTTGTCATATATGGTCTTTATTATGTTTTGGTATGTTCCCTCTCTTCCCACTTTGCTGAGAGTTTTTATCATAAACTAGTGCCGGATTTATCAAAAGCTTTTCCTACATCTATTGATATAATCATGTGGTTGTTGTCCTTCATTTTGTTTATGTGGTGAATCACATTTATTGACTTATGAATGCTATACCTATCTTGCATTGCTGGAATAAATCCCATTTGATCATGGTGTATGATCTTGCTGATGCATTGCTGTATTTGGTTTACTAATATTGTGTTGAGGATTTTAGCATCTATGTTCATCAGTGATATTGGCCCATATTTTTTTTCTTTGTAGTGTCTTTATCTGGTTTTGGAATTAGGATAATGCTGGCCTGATAAAATGAGTTTGGGAGCCTTCCCTCCTCTTGAATTTTATAAAAATAGTTTTAGAAGCAGAGATATTAGTTCTTCTTGGAACGTTTGGTAAAATTCACCTATGAAGCCATCTTGTCTGGGGCTTTTTTTGTTGGGAGTTTTTTATTACTGCTTCAATTTCAGTAGGTGTAATCTGTCTATTCAGATTCTCTGATTCTTCCTGATTTGTTTTTGGAAGATTGTATGTTTTTAGGAATTAATCCATTTCATTCAGGTTGTCCCCTTTGTTAGCATACAATTGTTCATTATATTTTCTTAAAATCCTTTTTATTCCTATGGTGTCAGTTGTTATTTCTCCACTTTCATTTCTGATTTTATTTATTTGGTCCTTTCTCTTTCTTTCTTGTTGAGTTTGGTTAAAGGCTTGTCAACCTTATTTATATTTTCAAAAAAACCCAGCTCTTTGATTTATTGATCTTTTGTATCATTTTTTAGACTTCATTTCATTTATTTCTTCTTGTTCTTAATTATTTCTTTCCTTCCACTCACGTTGGGCTTTGTTTGTTGTTCTGTTCAGTTTCCTTTAAGTGTGAAGTTAGATTGTTTATTTGAGCTTTTTCTTGTTTTTTTTTTTGAGATAGGTCTGTAATGCTATGAATTTCCCTCTTAGGATTGCTCTACCAATGTCTCACAGATTTTGGATTGTTGTGTCCTCATTTTTATTTGTTTCAAGGTATCTTTTGATTTCTTCCTTCATTTCATTGTTGACCCATTTGCTGTTTAATAACATGTTATTTAGCTTTCATGTCTTTGTGTGTTTTTCAGTGTTCTTC